CTGGGTTGTCTATAACATTCACATCTCATCTACACTGGAATTTCTCATGTCATTTGCAAAATGGGTACGCCACATAGGACATGTAGAACAGGAAGGGTTGGCCAGATAATCTGATGTCCTTTTGTGCTTACACGCGCGATGTTTTGAAGTTTATTATTTGTTAGAGATCGAGTTACTTAACCATAGTTAATATTAACTATGCTTACACTGRTTATGAGACACATAGCCGAACTTGCAGACCTACGGAACTTGTTTCATTTTTCATTTTTTTCATTTACCATGAATGGAGATGACAGGAATAAGACAAGATAACAGTTTTACTGACTAGTACCTACCTGCTCGGCCTTTTCTTTGCTCGGYGCTTGCTTGGCTTATCCAAAACTCCTTGAGTCGTTGCATCTTCTCCTGAGCGTCAAAGCTCATCTCCTTAACCTAAACGAGCACAGCATTGTGTCAGATGCCTGGGCCGAGTAAGACAATGTTTTGTTCGGCTGTATTATCTCTTACCTTCCCAGAGTCAACAATGAATCGAATGCCATCTATAGTAATAGACGTCTCGGCAATGTTCGTAGACACTACACACTTCCGAACACCATCRGGTGGCACGTCAAATACCTATACGACAAGAGGAAGGACATGCCGGTTACTGCTAACGAAACAGGATTCTATCATYGGCTGGGTAGCGGGTTAAGCAAGCCACTCTGACCTTAGATGATATATATTTACAGAAGTACCAGATAACTCGAAGCACATTTCGTGCTACGACATTCTAACCTTGTCTTGTTCCTCAACTGATAACGAACTGTGAAGAGGAAGAATAATCCAGCGACGAGTCTTTTGAGCATATTCTTTTGCAGCATYAACAACAGCAGCAATCTCTGCCATTCCACTCAAGAACATCAACAGGTCACCACGCTCTGTGGGAGGGTACTGACAGGAGACATTAGAAATGATTAGAGTAATAATTTCAAGTGACTCTGGGAATAGAAGGCAGATAGCACTACAGGAGTGATGCTTTTAATACCTTTTTGTCAATAAGTTGCATAATTCTAAGGTATGGTGATGGATCTAGTCGCTCTGCACGGCTTGATGGTTTCTCTTTCTGATGACAATAAGAAAAAGTATTGGATGTGTACTCTTAGTCATGTTTAACACTTGAAATGTGAATACCTCAGCTGAAGGTGGGTGGTATTGGACTTGGATTGGATACAAGCGGCCAGGAACCTGCAACAATTATACATGCAATATTGGTCAGTCAAAGCTTGTATAGTCTACCCTACCAATGATCAATATTAAATATTAATCAATATTATTATTATAGTAAACAAGTTACGGAGGTAAAGAGCAGAACACGAAGTGTTACCTGTATAACTGGAGCCCCTTCAAAGTAACCAGAAAACAGGCTGTAAATCAAAAAAGAGAGAAAAAATCCCTCAAKATTCTGGAATTCAACATATAATGTTAATATTAGATACAAAGTATGATTCAATGGTTACTTTATGTTGATAGTAGCAGACATCAGAACAATCTTGAGATCAGCACGGCCTTCAATCAGACATCGCAACATTCCCAGTAAGAAATCTCCATGGAGATGACGTTCGTGAACCTCATCTACAATCAGTACATTGTACTGAGAGAGGTCTGGATCTGATGACAACTGCCGCAATAGTAAACCTAGAATGTACAGTAGAAGTCAAATAAATGAAATAGTTTATAAATTGAATTTATTGAATTTGAAAAATAATCGTAACTTTACCTTCAGTAAGGAATAGAATTCTTGTTGCTTTTGTCTTACTTGCCTCAAAACGAATCTAAATAAGACAAGAGTGAAATACTACATGTTTGTCTTGCTCGAGAAGGAATCAAATTTCTTTGATTCAATTTACTGTATTAGCATGAGATACTAACCTGATAAGCAACTTCTGATCCATACTCATTGAGGGTTTCATATCCTACTCTTTTTGCTAGTGATATGCATGCTATTCTTCTGGGTTGAGTACAGGCAATTTGTGTAAAGCCAGCATTCAATAAGTACTGTGGAACCTACAAAACAACAACAGTATGCATGGATGGATCTATACATTATKGTCTTTAACATGAATATTTATGCAGGATATCGACCCTTCAACAATATTGCTGCTATCAATGGGAGTCCTGCTAAAAATAACATAAAGAAACTAAATGTTAAAAGCTAAAAAAATGGCCTTTAAAATATCAAAAATATTGAAATATTTAATATTATATTATTATATTATATTAATAATATTATTAATATCAAATAAGCTGGAGTAAAATCCTTTAATGAAAGGATAGAATTKACTAACAAGCTACCCTACTCACATATGACCCATGACCAGAGTATACACGAGTACCATTAACAACATACAATACACTTTCTATCCAATGATAATATAATCCCTTGTTACTGCCAGAAATTCCTTTGTCTTTGATAGAAGAGAAGTGTAACATATGACTAACCTGGGTAGATTTCCCACACCCTGTATCACCAGCAATTATCACAACCTGATGTGTTCCAACAGCTTCTACRATCTGCTCCCTGAACTGGCTGATGGGAAGGTTGGCCTGATCTTTTTTCAGTTTTACTATTTTGTTGAACTAATAAATAATGTACATAAATGCCCATAATCAGTGAAAATATCGTTGAAAAGTCAATCAATGTTAAAATTGTGATATTGTTTTMCTTTCTAGTATGAAAATAAATAATTATAGAATATTGTAACTACCAGGCATCATCATGATTATCATCATCATCATGGATATCATCATGATCATGAACATCACCATCATCAACATCATTTATAGTACCTTTTGTTTTTGACAAAAGTCAATATAATACAGGAGTATAGATCTAAACTCCGCAATATGTTTTGTTTTCAGACTTCTTTGGGTTGATCTACTTCTTTCTTTATCTGTCAACACAAATAACTGAATGAATGAATTGATCAATAAAAAACACCATTGTTAATAAAATAACATTAATAAACAGCACTATCCAATGAATAAATCTTATCCAGTGGATAAATTTATTGGATAACAGCATCAACTTATCCRATGAATTATTTCAATCTATCCATTGGATACTGCTTGATTAATAGATTAGTGATTAATAATAGAATGAATGGAAATGAAATAAAAGATGAAAACAAGATAAGAATATTGTGCCACTGCATGAAGAGGCAGGATGTAAGGCATAATCATAWATAATTATATTGCATTACAAGTTGTCCAAACCTACCTCTACGGTGTTTTGATCTCTGCTCATCTATGACGTCGCTTGTCAAGATAGACACATTTACTTTATATCTCTTGTCATACGTCATTGGTAATCCCAAATTTGATGTCTTTGAACTTGAATGACTTTTTTTCTCTTTCRAAATAATAAAGGAATGAAAAATAATTTATCTGATTTGGGTTAGGCACAGTAACCTAAACATGACATTATTCTTGTRTCATACCATTTCTAGATGACTCAGTTCTTTTTCTAAATGCCTCGTATCGATCAAGAAAACGCCAGAAATCTTTGTAGTCTTCACTTCCTCTGGGGAGCAGACACACGAGATAAATTATGGTAAAACCTTAAATCCTTGTTTTTTTAATAATTCTTATTTTTAGTGGACAATGTATTAAATTCATTCTCTATAAAGTATATAGTTCGTACCGTTGTATGAAGTCCTGTGRACGAAAGAATGTTTCACAGAGAGCTTGTTCATGCTCCTTCCATACAACGTCTTCTTCCTCGTCTTCTGAAGAGAACTTTCTTCTATGATAACTATGTCTAGTCTTAGACATTATATATTAGTCTTAGYACTTCATACTGATATAATAAGGCTGTATTGAAGGCATTTATCACTAGTTTTTTTTACATTTTTTGGTACAAACTTTTAATTTACCGCCATTTTGTTTCTGTGGAACATCAGCTGATCTAGCATACTGAAGGCTCAATAGGTTGTTCCCAGTCCTTGACCGTGTTCAAGATGGCGGTGCTTGGAGAACTGATATCATTATCACTCATTGGTAAAATCACCTCACAATCACTTCAATATCGTAAATTCTGTAGATGTTTCAGAATGGTACTAAAACTGGATTATTGAACTTTGCAATTGTCTTTTTATTTGGTTATTTTACTGCAGAGAAAGACGTAAATAACGAKGTTCTCTGGACATGGTCTTTCCCTTCCGTCTCGTCCAGTTTTCGACAAATTCTGCTTCGAAAATGTTGTTTGAAGGCAGAAAAAGGCCAGGAAATTATACCATTTTGTTATGGGCAGTTATCCAAGAAATGGTACTACCTGTTTACATCAGCTGTCAAAAACGCAGCTGAGATGAATAAGGTGAGCTATGTGAAAATAAACTTAACGACGATATCTGAGACCATGACGTAAGCTGAACACAGTCTTTATGATTTTCTTTCTCCTTAGGTTACTCATGTAACTTTGGTGCTTGTGGCTAAGGTAACTAAAATTGTAGTCTTATCATCATCAGCRGCAAAAATTTTAAATCATGCATTGTGTTAATTTCATCCATGATCTACCCTTCCCCCCTCCCCTCCCTGTGACCATCAGTGATGTTTCCAACCAACTGCATGTTCATGTTATTTATGAAAGGACTTCAACCCAGAGAAGTACAAGAGCCTGTGTAGAATATTATGCAACAAACTGATAGTAACAGGCAGTCCTGCTAGTATGCTACAATACTATCTATCAGTGTTCACCAAAGGAGTTTGCCCTGATGATGAAGATGACAGTATCTTTGCTGTCAAGGAATTTGATCCAAGAAAAGCTTTCATAGAAAAATCAATCAAAGGTAAAAAAATGGTTTTCCATATTTAAAGCTAGTGCRAGGAGGTGTTTTTTCTGATTGCATTACATTTCTTTAGATGTGGTCAACATATTTGGAGTAGAAACCATTCTGATATACACTGCGTTACTACTGAAGAAAAGAGTAGCTGTTTACAGTCCAAGACTAGATACTCTGCTGGATATAACCAGGTTGGGCCTACAATAATAGTTAATCATATATTGTTTGACTTGCTTATTTTGCATTCATTTATTTACTCATTTGTCCACTATAGAGCACTACCTTTGTTGGTATGGCATCGTCAGAACTGGTCAATWCTCTTCCCATATGTCCACTTGGAGGAGGATGAAATAAACGACTTGCGTTCGAGCATTACATACATTGCTGGATTTACAGATGCATCCATTGAGAATAACACTGACATTTATGACCTTTTTGTTAATGGTAATGTAAGATACACAACATAAATATAGTTATGCTTTGTTATTGTTTCCTTTCATTTCTCATTTTATTTCCCATATTTTCTCTTCAAACCATAGTTGGAGCAGGGGAGATAACTATTCCGATGCATGCTAAAGGTTAGTATGCCACTCATGGCATCTTTTAGACAATTCATTGTGGTTGGTTTTCCTGTGGTAAACCTCTCCACAGGAATCCCATGCACTCATCTTCCTTTCAGGTATTTTTAACTCTTATTCACACTTTATATTCAATGATCAACTTGTATGCTCTTCTTTATTATTGCTAGAAATGTTCCAGATGGGAAAAGTCCATAAAGATATTGCCATGTTTATGATGGAAGCAACTAAAGATGAAAATTCAAGTGATCAAACGTTTATCAAGGTATGCTTATTAGCTAGCTGCATCCCCACCTCCTGACCTTCATGCAATACCATAAATGTTCTGTACTTTTTCCAGGAATTGTCCAACAAAACCAAGGATCTGATTGGTACTCTGAAGAAACTTGCTGTTGAAACTGAAGAAGGCTCTGAACCAAAGATAACTCTGGAAGGACTACAACAACGAAAGCTGACAGCCATCATGGAAAACTTTTTGTTCAATTTAGCTGCTGCTGAAGGGATGGTGTGAGAATGGGTTAATGTTTAAAATTGGGATTAGTAAGATAGTAAATAAATGGATAAGAAACCAGAAGAAAAATCTAGCAAGAATCGAATGATACTAGAAGATTTCTTTAAATAAGTAACTTYTATAAATGAAACAAAAGAATAATATAGCAATTATCATAGCAATTATTAATGATTGATATTATGAATTGTCTGGCACACACTCAGTAAAGAATCAGGCCACTCAACACAAGGGTGCAAAGGAGGTGTTTTTCAAAGGCCATTTATGAATTTCATGCATTCTGGTTTAGCAAACAATAACTGGTAAGGCATCATGAACAAAAGATGTTTGCACCAAAGCTAGACTACAATGTACCACCTTTGCTATCACAGAAGAAGTCAGCTTTTGGCGTGCAGCTTGTTCACATGCTAGTGCAKTTGTAAACCTGTCTTTTTGCTAAAATGAAGCCATACCACATATATTTGCCATATCACACACAATTGTGTATCAAATCTATCGGTAATCACAGTATGAGAAGAAAACTTAAATACATTAAATAAATAAAAATAAATTAAATACATGTGAAAAAAATTTTTTTYGTGATGTATAAATGTAAAAAATGCAATTTGATACAAAATAAAGTATTCAATATTTCTTTTTCGGCGTAACAAATTTACTTCAGTTTTTTATGTAYCTATCCTCTTATTGAAGATAAAGATATGATAAATTGCGTTATCACATTGTCTAAGTAGTGTGGATGCACGAGGCGTATATTTAGTCGTAAAGTGTAGTTTTTCGTGGCTACATTCGCTTGAACGTTGAGTACATGCAAAGTCAAAAGATATTTCAGTCATTAGATTTCGAGGATAACGATTTGCAAACTTTCATCTTTTTGTAAAATCTGGCATAAAATATTATGATAGATCTAGCTAAGATACCACTAATTATTTATCGTCAAAGTGAATTATTATAATAATTAAATAATTATATGGCGCAAATTCTCATGTGAATATAATCAAATGCGCCACAACTGTGTTCAGAAAAAAACTACTACAGGCCAGACCATCCATAGCTAGTCTAGGATACTCACTTTTTAAATAAGCATGACACGGACATTTGCGGAGCAGGAACGAACTGATTTGTGTTTCCAATGTGAGGTGTTTTCTACAATATCCTCATTAACGTGTTGATCCATATAGATTTGTTCTTGTCATGTATCTCGCAGACAGATTGATTCATCTRCTACCCCCGTCCATTGAGTAAAATATGTTCTTAAAGTATCTATCACCCTTCTGCAATTGTTTTCCCCCATTGCTCTTATAGAAATTATTGCAAGTTCGTTTTCACATAGAAGCCGGTGTTTCGAATTACAATGAGAACACCATAAATGCCTCCTCATACGTCACAGCATTAGCATATGACTAGGAAAAACCTTTATAACTTCAAGAAGCCGCCTTCAAACTATGAAATTTTTATCTTACCTCATGTAGAATCAATACTAGTTGTCAGAGGGGTGATAGGCACTTTAAGGTAATCCAATATATTCCATTAGTACCTTATGACCTATGCATTGTTCAGGAGACATGCATCAAGTGCTCTTCGACGTCACTGGTAGAACTTCCAATACAAAACTAACTAATGTTAGTAACCTACGATCCGTATATTATGAGATGAAAAAATGAATGGAAAAACACAGTCTCTGAAACAAAGACTGAACAAGAAGGTGATGTAACCCGATTAAAAGGTTTGCTGCTGTATACATGCGATACTGCTTTAATGTATATTGATATACAGTCGGTTTGTATCGATCAGTTAAGTTTGTATATTCATTGGGTTATACTCTCTCAGTCGAGTTAATAGGATTGTTCACATGTGCAATGGCTGTCGTCGTTGCGATTCAACAGCCTTTAGCTCATAATAGTACTCTTTTAGTGGATGTTCTTTTCGGATTACAAGCATTGCTCCGCTTTTCTAGTGAAATAGCACTGCGATAGTATCGTGGTTTCCAAAGACTAGCCCAGTCTCAGGTCAGTTTGTTATAGGCGCTTTTCCAGTTACTACTGAGCCGGATCCGCAAGCGTCTTCTCGATCGCTTGCTTGTCTATCTTAAATCGTATATGTGTAACCAAGAGATCATAAAGAACAGAGTCTCTTGGTGTAACATAGGGAACAACACCGAAATTGATGAAATAGATATTTGATCTCAATACTGTTACGAAAAATACATACGGCAAAGCAACCCGGGGGGGGGGGGGGGGGGGGGGGGGGGGGGGGTACTCCGCCAGGATTTGGATAGGGGTGTTCCGCTGGGATTCTAAAAGGGGTACACTGTTTATGACAAAAAAAACTCAAATTCGTAGACCCTGTTTATGACAAAAGATATAATTAATTGCACTGTGTTCCTGTTTCAATTATCATACCAGCTCGCGTATCGCTTTTTGAAGACCATAGTAACCAGTTTCGGTCAATTCGAAAGTAGAAACCCTGAATATGACAGGAAACTTAGGAAGAACTTGGAACAAACTCGAGTGAAACTGCATACCCTGTTTATGACAAGAAGCTCGAAAAACCGTACCCTGTTCACCCTGTTCAGCGGATCATCCCCGTATAGTCCATATATGGGAGTACCCCCTCCCCCCCGGGCAAAGCAACCAAACGCGAAAAGCAGATATGAAACATGCGCTCCTGCTTCCTAGATCATGTTAGTAATTAAGCCTTCTCATACTCATTAATAAATAATGARKAAACCAGCCAATCAATGGGATATTTTTGGGTCACATGATRTTACTTGAAACCTAGTAAAGTCYTGTGAAAGGACTGAATTCAGTCGGTGGTTAACTGGAACAAAATTAGTTCAGTCCTAGGAMTGAATTAATTTTGTTCCAGTTACTCCAAGTCGAATAATAATGAGCATGAGAAGTCATTTCAAAGCCTCCAATATCGGACTGGATTTCAAGCTGCGCCTCGGAGTGGAACTAATTGCTTGCACTTGAAATCCCGTCCAGTCCTCATTGTCGGCTTTGAAATATTACATAACGTACCATAGGCTGCCGTGAGAACCTAAACTAGCCAATTCTCGCACAACCGGTTCTCGTTCTCCAGCAGACGGCCGATGGTTCGTCTCTTGTCTCAGTCGATCTTGGGACCAGCAATTCTGGTTTATAATTTTYTGACAGGTTTAAATTAATGTGTTAACCAATCCAGAAGAAAGTGACAGTTAGATTCGCCTAGAGTTTTTCTTTTACTGGTGGTGACCAAAAGGAACGCTAGCCCTGGGAACGAAAAGTGAGTGATAAATGAATGCGCATGCGCAAGAATARGATGAAAGGGCGTTGTATTTCGGAGTGCATCTGTTTCAAAAACAAAACATATTCGGGAAACTTAGTAGCGGCTTTCTTATAGTCTATCATATGGAAACAGTAAATGGAGCCAAGAATATCAACATACGATAGCGCACGGGAACTGCCTGAGTGCCGGACGCTTTTGTTTCTTATACCATCTGAGTTCACTARTAAAATTAGTGGCTAATACATTTTACTCGGTCTCGTTTAGTCTCGTTTCCGTRTAAAAATACCATTTGTTATATATCTTACAAGTATCTGTTAGCATTAAAATGTCGGTTCATTAGCTGAGCTGCACCATTCAGTACCGCATCGCCGGGCATCGCGGTTCACAGTCAGTTCTTGTGAAATACAGCCACGGTGAATCTAGTTAGCAGCAAGTTTCATAAAACTGCTATACTCACTAACAAGCTGATGTGTGATATCTTGAAAGATCCTTCACTGTACAGTATTACTGAAGGATGAACTAACGCATATCGTCAATCATTGTTGTTATTTCATTTCCCCTGTACTTCAGATTCAAACACTAATTGCATTCCACGTCACTTATCTTTTTATTATTATTTCCGAATTCAATTTCACTTCCATTTACAGCGGCGAATTATGATATAATAATGATAGTGATGATGGCCTTTACTGCTGCTGTTGTATTACTGACCCAAGCAACTGAAGTATTCGGTAAAACTCAATAACCCTCAGGCCAAGAGCGGCTTTAGTTTCTATCACCTTTAAAGAAACATTAAAACTTCAAAGTAGTGGATTATGTTCTTAATTTCGAAGTCTGATATGATTTTAAGATAAAAGAGAATTCGAATATCAATCAGATTTTAGAGAGTTTAAAATTAATAGGCAGATTAAGATTCCCGGTTTTTCTTTCTGCAAACGGCAAACGTGACCACGTTTTCATCGTTTCCCTGCATTTCACTTTACCTTTTGCAAACCTTCTCGACAAAGACAAGTATTCTTTTGTTTATCTACTACTTGGAGATTTTTGCGATTCCTTTTCACTAATTTTAAAGAATTTTTTAATGGTCAACTGACGTTTCACGTTTGCCTTAAACGAGAATCTTAAACTCTCTAATTAGTGAAAAGGAATCGCAAAAATCTCCAAGTAGTAGATAAACAAAAGAATACTTGTCTTTGTCGAGAAGGTTTGCAAAAGGTAAAGTGAAATGCAGGGAAACGATGAAAACGTGTACATGTTTGCCGGGAAGGAAAAACGGGAATCTTAATCTGCTAAAAAGGTAAACGGTTTTTTTTTTTTTTTTTGGCGTCGTTTTGATTTTGCTCGTTTGACTTTTCTTAAATAAATCAGTGAAACATAATGAGAAATAAAGTGATGAGCAGTTACTTCCTTTATTCAGAGGATTCTATGTTATGGTCTAATACTAATGACAGTCAAGCCAGAACACTGTCTAGTATTAGTGGTACAACCTGGATCAGATGGCCTCTGGGGCTTGTATATCTAATAGATTGACAGGACACGCCTACTCCTAATGAACCAGCATTATTCTAATTTCATATAGAAAGTTTATCATCTATCTACGATATTTTATTGTATTCTGTTATATACTGTTAATAGCTGTGGCCATCTTAATCTGTCAATGTCATCGAATAAGATCCACTACAATTAATTGTTCGAGCTAATGTTAGACGGCTCAAGAAGACGACATAACTTGTTCTAAAAACTAATGTATTTGCTCGGTATTGAGTCAACTGACGCTAGCATCACCCACCTGAGGTGAGGGCGGGACAATGAACATCACGATATGCCTTTGAGGCAAATGTAGGACATATGGAAGTTTTTAAAAATATTATAATAACATAATTGTGTGCTTCGAGCGGCCAAGAACGACACATACCTCAAAACTAAACACACATATTGATTAGCTTGTTTTTCATGAGGAATATCTTGAATGATGATCCTCTTATCGTACTCAAGCAAACCGAGTCTGGCCGTCTCGTGTCAAGTATCAAATCTAGTCAAATCTACTCCGGAAGAGTAAGATATTCTGAGCGCATTTGCAATTGATTTGGCGCCCTTTTCTTGTAAGAAGGCTGTCCTTTTGTTGATCATGATGGTTGTGCTCTGTTGCCTTGCTAATCTGATTATCCCCCTCCCCTACCCTTCCACCACAAGGCCTTATGCTCGGTTGTATGAGATATTATCTTCCCGCGAAAAGAACCTACAACTGAACTCTCGGCCGTCTTACTATTTGTTATTTCGGCACAGAGTGGCCCTCACAATGTTTTAGTTAATACATGATAGATTACTAAACTATGGTAGTCATGCGTGGGCATTTTACAAACTCTAAGTTTGCTTCAAAGTGTCTATGGAGGTCAGTGGCACATGCAGCACTTAAGGGACCTTGAATTTATAAATCACCAGTTAGGCAAGTTGAACCAGTTAGTTAGTATAACTAGTTCAATAAAGGATTGTTATAGTGTATTATTGTAAAGGTCATATCTTGTCATATTTTGCCTGTCACTTCTGACTTGTTCTGGCCGCGTGGTTTCATAATCGTGCTGTTTCCCTTTTCTTCACATTCTTGTTTTCTACGGTGATGTTTTGCACAACAAAAGGGATGAAATAGTTGGTTAACGAGGCGCAAGAACGCCTTTCTGAGTTCTCTAGTGAATTTCATGTAAATCAGAGGGTTGAGTGCGCTGTTTAAGTTGGGTAAGATAATGACAACCAACACCCTGATGAATTCAGCTAAAACTGGATGAACTGGCGGTGAAGGTGACCACAGATTCTTCAACAATACAACGAAGAAAGGAAACCAGCAGATGAAAAAGGCTCCCACCACTACAGCCATCATCTTTGTCGCTTTGATCTCACGTATAAGACGTAAGGTACGATCGCTTTGAACAGAAGATCCTCCTCGCATTCGACTGTACTCGGGAGACACAAGGTTTTGTAAGGCTCTAGCATGAAAAAGCGCTACTCTAGTCAAGTAGGTGTAAGCTACAATGACGACTGCTAAGGGGAGAAAGAAAGCAAGTGTAGCTACGACGGTGTAGTACAATGGGTCGTACTTTCCACAGCCGCGGTTAGTGTTAAACACGTCCAGGTGTGGATTACTCCAGTTTAAGTTCCCCAGTGAAGCCCAGATCAGGGCATACAGCCATATAAAACCCATTAGCTTGAGACCTGTCTTTTGATCCATTAGACTTCTATATCGTAATGGTGCTTTGATGGCCAGGAACCTCTCCACTCCGATGGCTGCTAAGTTTGTTATAGACGCACAGCAAGCAAACGAGTCTGTCCAGATCCAAAAGGCACACGCTGAAAGATTCAAGCACCACTGACCATTACGCAGAGTCTGGTGGATACGAAAAGGCATGGAAAACATTGAGACCAGAATATCAGCAAGGGCTAGCGATACGAGGAGAAAGTACGTAACGCTGTGAAGACTTCGAAAGGTAGCAACAGTCAAAATGATGCCAGCATTACCCACAAACGTCATGGTACAGATGAGGGAAAGTATAACTGCAAGGGCGAGATTCTTGGCTGTTGGATGTACTTCACACCTCACATCGTTGTATTCAAGGGACGTGTTCAAAGTCGTGTTAACGTGAGCGCTCCAACTGTAATTATCTGACATGTTCATCATCGCCGAACTGACCCGCTTGTTCTTCGTCCTCGCTTCGTGGCGAACTGTTCTTTTAATCGCGCCTCACTTGTGTTTGGCGAAGCCTTCAGGACTCACGGAGGTTTATTCTTCTATTTGAATAAGATCTTGTTTCTCATTCGATGACGTCTGTAGCATCCGGAAAGCTAGAGTCAACACTTCTGCGCATTTGTATCGCGAACCTAATCCATTTTGTAATATCTTATGAACACAGAATTAAAGATGGCTCTTAAATTTGGTTTCGAGTCCGCTGTCAAAGTTTCCCAACCTCGGGGGAAATCCGGAAACATTTTGATCGAAATTGAAGTTAAAATAATTTCCATATACAAAAATGTATAATGAGTACATGTGAGTAAGAGCGCCGGAGCTCTCGAATATCTCGGCAGATTTAATATGTAGCTGGTCGTCGGGTCACTGAAGCTCCTACCAGTTGGATAATACGCCAATACGAAAATCTGCCGTTAACGCGAAGAGAGGTTTCGTCGCGGGCTGTTTACCGACTTAAGATGCAGTGTGCAGAGAACAGCTGCAATACCTTATGCAAACACCAACGCCTTAACTTCTTATTAGACTTGTCTTATACTCCACCATGAGAATTGAATGATGATGAAATTGAAATAAGTCCAGTTGATCTCGCCAACCCAAGGCAGCCTTTTCTTTGTCAGAGTGACATGATACAAAAAAAAACCACAATAAACTAGCGAGCAGTATGTGTTTTTTATCTCTATCAGGGTTATCACCCAGCCTTTCAACGAGCTTTCGTGATTATTAATTGAAAGAGGTGTCAATAAAGTGTAATCATTCTAAGGCTTTAATTCAAATAAAGTACGAACGACTTGAACAATATAGCCGGGCCATTGATCGGATGGGGAAGAAATACTGGAAAATACGTTTAGGCAACATTGACTAAAGTATTTACCATTCCACTAATACGTATGAGTGGTGTGATTGTTATGGAGCGTAAACACTAAGATCGTTTGTTCGTCCATCTTGATCATATGGGGTACGGAAGTAAATACATCGTTAACGCGCGCTTCAATCTTATTTCTTTTGACACAAGACGGTTTGTTAATCTTGTCCACTTTAATCATATTATTGTAAAAAATGAAAAACTCTTCCCCTGTCAAATTCTAGCCTATATTTAGCGAAATCTTGATGTTAAGTGCTGAAGATTGCTAAGGAAATGACTTATCGAAAATCATCATCTAATGTTCTATTGATTACTTTGCTTTTTTTCTGATATTGTTCCTCTCTCTTTCTCTCTGAATGTATACACATCAGTTTTGAGAACATTATTGACTCTTTCTCCTTTCCGCACCACAAGATTCTCTTTATACGATCCACGAGTTTAGCATTGTTTATTTTCCTATCGTGATAAACTCAGAACTGGAAGATAAATAAACACACTCTCACTTCTGTCTCGAGGGGAAATCCCCATTAACAAGGATAAGCTTTCTCGTTTGGCGGCTTACCTCATACAAACATAGCTCAAAAATATTTCAAAATAAAAACATGACATTACCGCCGGCATAAGTCAGTCCGTAAGAAAATGAGCGACTTCATATCAAGCAGCTACCAATACGTCATTTTTTGCTTTTTAATTCCACTCAAGTGTCAAAAAATGGCAAAAACCCTGACAGAGGATTACACTAAACCATAGTTACCTACGACTAAACATAGTGTTAAGAAACTGAGATGAATGTGAATGGTCTTCATTATACTCATGTTTACAGTAGATATACTAGTGTTTCTTCCGAAATAAGGTTTTCAATGAGTATGTTTTACATATTCAATAACTCAATGGCAGCTCGTTATCTGCCACTAAAACACATAAACACACATTAACATAAACTCCTTGTTCTGGCCTCCAAATCATTCAGATATTTCAAGCAGACTGTTAGGAAACCGATAGTCATTCTTTGGTTTTGCTTTGCCGGGTTATGGAAAGAAGAGACAGACTATTAATCCATCTAGCGTTATAGCATAGCGCTACTTTTGATCCGATTACATATGATCTTGTAAGAGCTAAAATAAAGCGATGAGGATTGGGGAAATAAGGTAAAATTGAATTAGTCCACGCAGCCTTAGCTAAACCTTAAACTGTAGGCTTTTTACCGGCCAGACCCGGCGCAATAACATTAGTTTTGTACACTACTTAGCTAAAAGGTTATATAAAAACTTGAATATAGATGGTAGATCAACGATGAACTTCCAGTATATATACTTCCAGTATATATATATCATATACATCAATAAGAAATTTAAAACATGCCATATTTACTGATTGAAGGATGTATAATCATCAGTGGCAACTGTTTTACTCAGTTGAAGAGTTTAAGACTGGATTGTCTGGTTTTAGTGCGAATATATATTCATTCACAAACGGATTGCATTGACTCGAGTGTTACTTCAGGTGACACCCAAAGTCATAATAATAGAAATACTCTTACAAGATCAAAAATACACTGCTTATCTGCTAAATAGCTCAAGAGGGATTACATGTAGAGAAACAAGTGCCGGACATGAACTATTTTCATACAAATGAGATCTCATTTATACGCAAACATTGGAAGCGATCATTGGTTATCCCAGTTAGGTTCAGTCAGAACCACAAGGTCGTAAACAAGTGTGATTGAGTGTTTGTATTCAGTACTCAGACGTAATGATCTGGTGTGACGCCACAAGACAAGATGGTCAGGTGGTTTAAATAGGCTTAGATTCCCATGAACCAGTATTTAGTTGCAAAGTAAAAGGATTTGTAAAAATGAATGAGTGAAGAATGAAGAGAGACTGATCTCCTGCACTGAACATGCAAAAAAACTGAAGATGTCAGTAACAACAACATTGAGATGGCATTTAGATGTTTATTGCCAATAGAACTTTACAGCTTTTACGATGTTTATATCAAAATACAGCTAGCGGCCTGCAGGTTACTTTAGGCATCAATAGAATAAAACTGACCTCACTAATCATTTCCCTCCACTGCATTAACAACAACCACAACTACTGATAAGTTGATTGGCAGACCTAGTCTTCCTGACAGGTTTTTTAGTTGCTATCGAAACACAAGCTTGTAAATACATACATACACATATTTTAAGAAGGTTCTATTGTTCTCTAGGAAATAAAACACATCAAAAGAAAAGAAAAGAAAAAGATTTTTCTTCGCGTATTTTCAACAAGCGACAGGATTGTTATATTTTTAGAGAGGCCAGAGGATCCTCATTCCAATACAGTAAAAAGCCACTGACACTGATCATATTACATGCACTTCTGTTTAGATCGTCGTTCAGATCCGCATACGTCTGTACACTCACGCATTACAAGGCGAGCAAGGTTTCTTTATAGCTGCTGACTTGAATTACATTCAGTCAAACAACCAAAAAACATCGTTATAGCAATCAGAATAACAAATTCGTGTCCTTGACTCAGTCAAAATACCTATCCAATACTGACGGGGCCCATGTACGTGGCTATTGGGACCAACTGCCCTCTGGCTCAGCTTTTGGCTCCTGAGACCGAAGTCGAAAGCTTTTAGCTTTCTTTTCTTTAAATACAAAGGTAATTTAATTATTTGAATTATTAGGGAGAGATTTTTCTCCGTTTATACTAGAAATTATTTACGAACCTCAAATGTAATTCTCTCTCAACAATTGCTACTAAATGTGAGCCTCAAACAGGTCACGTGACTTAGGCTGGTTATGATGCTAACATTATCATGATTAACGTTGAACTCACGAACATGTTTAAGGCGTGATTACGCATAGCAATTTTGAATGTCTACACGGTGCAACGGAGACGCAATTGTTGCCAAAAGTAGAAACGAATTCTACTTTTCACAACGATTGCTGCAACTTGTCTTGCAACGTTTTTCATATTCCGCTGAAGGTTACACGCTGCAATGCAACTTGTGTCGCAACGCGGCTGCGAGACAAGTTGCAGATGAAATTGCGCCGTGTAATCGCGCCTTTAGGACCTTTCTATATTTCACTCATACAAGCCATCATCAGCTGCCAAGTTATACTTCACTGTGTACCAGTCCAACCAGTTTGCAAGGTCTTTTTCATGAGCCTCCAGCCAGGCGCCATTCAGTCTAACGAGTTCCAAAGCTTTCTTGAACTGTCGTAGCATCTCTTCTCCGTTTAAATTCTTTTCGATGTAATCCTTAAGCTATAAAAATAGTACAATGAATTTAATTGTTAACGGTCAAAAACAAAACTTGAAGACGTTTTTAATAGAAGATTCCTGTAGTCTCCTCACCTGTTGCATACGATAGGTGGTAGAAAACCTCTTGGATACCACTGGCAAATGACCCATCAAGTCAGCCCTGTCAGGCATAAGCAAGTCAAATCACACTATCAGGTGCTGGATACATAATATGCATAAAAGGTAACATACAAAAGGAGTGTTCTCACCTTGGAAGAATGAAGTTCAATGCTACCTTGTGTCCAACTGGATTGCGGTTCGCAACAAAATCGTACATGTATTTGGCAAACTGCTGCTTGACTATGGACTGATTCTGGCCGAGCTTAAGGTAACTGAGACAAAACGAAACGATCTTCTAAATGATAGTCTCGCTTCATCATTCCCTCTACCCCTCTATCTCTCTATTGTTTTATAAGTTACAACACCCATTCCTTCCCTCCCTCCCTCAGTATTGTTTTCTACAATGACAAGCTTAGAGTTGTTGATAAACAAGTTTTCCAAATGTGCATACTTCAATAATGCATCTTCTTTGGATGAGCCAGCCAGTCCCATGAGAAGGGGTTGGATCTCTGAAGGAACGGTAGTTGTCTGGACCGCTTCTAACACCTTTTGCCAATCTTTTTGGTCTCCTTGACGTACTCCATAGTAATACACCAGCTGACGAAGAGCAGGAGTGATACTGTACAACACAATTAACTGCATCAGATGGCAATACAGATGGCAATACAGATGGCAATACAGATGGCAATACAGCCCAACACTGGTGAAAATCCATCTCCTGATAGAACTATTGTCATAATAACACTTACACATACATGCAGCCCAACACTG